AAACTTGTGACATGATATTAAGTCTCCTCCAAAGATAAAATTTGTTTGTATCATCTGTCTTTAATAGTAAGGAAATTGTGTTTGTCAAATTGTTTTAGCAATGCTTGAGAAAGTGGTGCAACATAACGTTATGCAATAATTAATCCCAATGCCAAAATCATTACAACTTGATAGTGGCTGTGGCCATTTTCAGATTATATCTATTTCATTTAGAAGAAGATCTCCATATCAAAACATACAATTAAAATGATCAAATTTTGGAATTGATCAAATAATAAAATTTATGAAAACTAAAATGTATGAAAGTTTTCTTTGCCAAATGATAATTGACAGCTCAATAAAATATATTTGAAAAAAATTAAGTAATATCTGATGGCTAATTTGTTAACCCCCTGCCTCCTTAATTTCAATCCAGGTCTCCACACAGTGACCTGATGTCGGTGCAGCTCGCTGTGAGCTTGATCTTGTTGATCAGCTGTGGAAGTTCGTGGGAGGAGGCAGGGCGCGAAGAACCACCAGCTCTATTTGTAAAATAAACGTTTGGGTCTATTTCAATATCATCACTGTCAGTGTTACTACTGCTGATCTCAATCTTTAATTTAGGTGACTTCTTTTTCTTCTTTCTCTTTGGTTTTGATTTCTTCTTTGGCTTACTTGTATTATGAGCTTTTGGAATTTTTTCCTGTGCATTTTCTTGATATGTGTGATTTTCATAACTTATTTGGTCATTCGCATTGTCATTATCCTCTATCATATTGTCTATCATATTTACTACTTCGGGGAGTTTCACCTCTTCTTTGGTAACTTCATTTGAGATAGCTGTTACTGTCTTCAATCCTTCATTCCTTTCCTTTGCTTTAGATTTCAGTATTGTTGGAAGTTGGTCGAATCGGAATTTGTTTGGTTTCTGTTTCCTTAATTTCTCCTCCTTCTCACCGAATTTATCATAATTAATTATAATCTCTTCTTCCTTTTCTTCTGATTCAGGTTTTCCCTTTTTACTAGACCTTGTGTTTTTATTACAGTTGGAGGTCTTAGTTTTCTTTGATTTCTTTTTAACCGGCTTCCTATCTTTTTTCGATGATACCTCTTTTGGTCGTTTATTTGTTCCCTTTGTTTCTTGGTTCAATTTCGTGCGCGATTCTTTTGTAGGCAAAGTATACTTGACACTGTCTGACACTTTCGGTAAAGACATCGAGTCTGATTTCGCCAACAAGTTGGATATTTTAGTTGTCTTCGGCAACTGCTTGGTTTTATTTTGATTTCCAGTGCCAGGCAAAGATGCGTAACTGATGTCTGTCTTTTCTCCCATTATAATATCAGGTAAAGTTACACTTTTCTGTAAATGTTCTATAGAAGCGTTTTCATTGCTTTCTTTCGTACTGGCAGCGAAATTTTCAATATTTTCATCTGTTACATGATCAGAGTTCTTTATATTGTATTTCGTTGCAGAGCTAATATTTGGATCTTTTGAGCGATGCTCCTTTGTTTTATTTGCTGGAAATTTTGTTTCATAATCTTTCACAACATTAGTCTTTATGATGTCGCTTGTGGGCAAATGCTCTTTCGCCATCATTCGTGATTTGTCTCTATTTCCTTTAACTGGCTCGGAGGAATCAGCCTTTGAACTTATAGATTTTAATGTTTGATTTGGGGTTGAAATTTCATCCGTCTTATCATCGAATTTACTAATACTTAAATTGCAATTTCCTGATTCATTTGTATTTTGGACGACTTTGCTGTCTGATATTGATTCATCGTTTAGAGAAGGAAGGTTTCCTTTAGATTTTAAGAATGGCAGTTCCTTTGTTTTCTTGTTTTCTCTATCGTTTATGTCCTGTAACGGGTCTTTATTTGGTTGTTCATACCGTACAGTAAAATTTTTCAGCTTCTCTTTGTATCGTTTTCTTTTATAGTTCCTCCACGGTATTTCCTCTTCCTCTCTATTCATTTCAAGTTTTGTTGGCATGGCAAACGTAGCCAAAGACCACGTATCATCGTCTGTGTCATCCAAGGAAAACTCTTCTACTCGGATTTCCTCGTCCTCTGAACTCGAGTCCAAGGAATCAGAGTATTCCGAATTTGAAATCATTTGAGACTCGCGTTCTTCTTGATCATTTATACCCGGAACATCCGAAGGATCTTCTCTTACAGCTTGTTCCTTCTTCTCTGTTTTGATATTCTCGGAAACATCATCAGATTTTCTTGTTTGGCACATCCTTGTTGGTATGTTTTGTGGCTTTGACAACCTTGGTGTGGGTTTCTGTCGTAAAAGATCAGTGTTTGCAGTTATTTTGTTTGAAATCATCGGCTTTTTATGTAAGACTTTTGAATCTATCTGTAGACTACTTTTTAATGAAGGTATATTTGATTTCAATTCAAGTATTGTTGAAGATTTTTCATTTGACATCGTTTCATTTTGTCTTTGTTTGGGTATATCTATTTTCAATTCAATCACTTCATTTGACCTTGAAGCCACGATTTTACTTCCGTGTTCATCAACTTTATTTGGTTTACATTCAGTGCTATTTGTTGTAGATTGTTCTGTTTCTTCAGTTTTCTTTCCAAGATCATTTTTCGGGCTTGCATTTTGCATGGTGAGATATTTAGTATTGAAAGAATGAAAATTTGGAGGGTTTTGGTTTGGTATACTTGTGAGTTCTTGGCTGAGAATATCTGGAATTCCTATGACTTTTTCGTTTAAATTTGAGGAAATGTCCATGGGTGTTCTAGAAAATATGTTTTCAGACTCATCTCTGCTATTTTGATACGTCTTATTTTCATCACTACACGATTTATCATTTTCCTGTAAACACAGGCTGTTGTTTCTATTTTGAACAACTGTCAAATGCTGAATTTCTGGCTCATTGTTTAGTAAGGGAGTGTGATGTTCGCCACTTTTCACTACTGGTATCATGGTCTGGGTATTTTTGTCTGCTAGGTCTGGCACATCAGTGTTGATCTCTCCGGTGTTACTATAAGTAACTTTACTGCAATCATCATGATCAGATACAGTCTTCTGTTCTATTCCAGACCGATTTTCGGACAGACGTAATGCTCTTTGTGAATACTCGTTTCCCTTTATTGCATTACTCTCTGGTATCTCTGATTTTTCTTGAGAATGTTTGCCAGAATCTTGATTACTTGGACCTAATATTCGAATTTGATTTTGTAATATCTGATGTGATAAAAATAAATTGTCAGTAAAATGTCCTTGATTTTCACCGATTCCTTTGTTATCCGAACTACTGGACTGAGTTTCCAATACTGTAGTCGGCAGCATTGAACTTGATTCGATAATTGGAGATTTATCAAAGGGCTTCGCGCTTACGGATGTGAAATAGGATTGATTATTCGTTACTTTCTCGGAACGTGTCATTGTATTTGACTTATAGGTCTCATCCGTCTTCTCAGATATCTGTAAATCAACATATTTATCGTCCTGAGACTTTTCCGCGAGGATTGAATTTGTCGTATTGTCGATATCATTGATACATGGCATACCAAACGTTTTGTCATCCGTAATGTTTTTCTCTTCATTATCTCTTTGAACTGCGTCGTTTTCAGGACCTGTTTGACTTTCTGACTCCTTATTGACACGAAGATTAAGATTATTTATATCGCTATTTACTCCTTTGATTTGTTCATAATTGCTTGGAGACGCTTCATTATTTTTGTCACTATATATACTTTCAAAGGTGTTCGACAAACGTGTAAATTCTAACTCTGTATTCTCTGGGGCTACACTAATCTTCCTAGACTCTGTCTCGTAGAAATCAGCTTTAATTGAGTCGTTATCAGAAATATGATTTAAAGATTTTGTAGTGAGTTGAGTTGGTGCTTTAGATGAAGAATATGAGTGTGCCTGTAAGCAGTCTTTTACAACCTTGTTAGTTTCACACAATTGAATTTCAGCAGACGGTGAATTAGGGAAGTGATTGTCAGTTTTGTGCTTCTGTGTTGAAGAGGGAGTGTCGATTTCATGTGTAGTATCGTTTATGCACCTGTTTTCTGCTTGTTTTCTATTTGCAGTTGATTGCTGAGCACAAGTGTTTATATTGGTTTTGCAAGTTTCTGACTCTATGCTAAATATGGTTTCAGATGTCATAGAAATATTAATGTCTATTACGAGTTGCTTCTTAACAGATAGTGTTGCCTTGTCAGCTTGCTGTTTGACGTTGGAACCAACACAGACATGTCGGGTGACGTCATCTGACGTGTCATGTTTCACCGTCTGCACATCTGAATCCACATCTTTAAGTGAATCTTTCACTTGTTTCTCTACATTCTTTTCTGCACTTTTTATCAACAATTTACATGTGGAATCGGGTTTCTTAAAGCTGAAAAAAGAAATCAACTTTGCAACCATGCTGGTCTTTGTTTGGTTTCTTTGTAAAATACCTTTTCCTTCGTTTAATACTTCACTCGGATTTGATACGTTTTGGCATTGTTTAGCAAAAACCATTCGAGACTGACCCATTATACCGTCGTTTTGGAGAAATGCGTTGTCAGCACAGCGATGATTAATGCAGTCGTTTTGCTGAAATACGCTGCCATTATCTCCGCTTTCTTGACCAATAGAAATCACCGATACATCACTGACCATGTCCTCATGACCTGTCGGAGAAAAGGACATGATCAGTTTACAAATCTCTCCTGCACTTTGAAATGCATTAAATGGCACATCGTTTTGTGCTCAAAGTACTCAAATGTATTAGTACTTACTGTCTAACTAAAACGGGATAGAGTTGGAAATGAAATCTTCTGGTAATTCACGGTTAAAGGCTAATATGCTATGATGAGAAGGATATAGGAAGGAAGTAGGATGTGGGTAGGATCTCAATAAAATACGATGTGATATAGTTCGATGACGATGGTGTGACGTCATCGACGGTTTGGTGTTTTAATACTAGGTAATTTGGTCAATGGCATTCCTGTGTAGGGGAGAAAAGTTGGAGAAAAAAGTTAATGAAAACAACATCAGAACAAGTTGGAATTTTATTTATAAAACAAACGATATCACATATTATCAGTTGGCAAGGTTTAGAGATTAAATGTAGACGCACATTAAACAAATTCACAAAGTAGCACTTAAAAGCTAATAAAGCACTTTACACTACAAATACATGCTTAAAATTATCCATAACAGCACTAACTTAAAAAAATAGTTCTGGTTCCAGAAACTCGAAGCAGCATCAGACTTACTTATGTCTTAATTTACGTTAATCATAAGATGAAATTTAATACAAACATACATTGAAAAATAAATAAGCAAAATGAATAGGAAACAATTTAAATAACCTTTCAAATTTTTACATTTTTTTAATTTAAAAATTTTATGATAATTTTTTAAAAAATTACGTATGAAGTCTATAGCTTCTAATTGTGAGGCCAAGTGTGAAAGTAGTCCGCACTATAACAAATGCATGGATCAGGCAACAAGACAAACAACATAATAAAACAAAATGATAAGCAACGAAATTCTGCGCAGTCTCATGCGCAGGGAAATATGAGAAAATATACGAAACACATCTCGGACATAATCCATTATTTATCAATTAAAGTTATATGGATTTTCATTTTCATGATCAGGTATCGAAATATCATCGTTTTGTTTTAGCGCCCTTCTTTTTCTTTTTGGTATTTCCTTTTGACGCATGTTTTCTAGTGCTATTCAACATCGACTCCTCATTGCGCAATAAGCTCAGCTGACTTCCGTTAAGATCATTCAATGGAGGCAAGATGCTCTTCTTAGCATCCAAAGGTACGGGAATTTCCACAGCATCGTGCTTATTAATGTAGTTAGGGTGCAATGTACTTGGGGTAAGAATCAAATTTGTACGACTGTCTGAAAGCAAAGTGCTATTGGAGGGTTCGCGCTTCATTGAATTGAATCCCTGGGGTTTTCCGCTGTCCATGTGATGGGAAAGAAATGTCGGCATACCTGTGCTGGTTGGTGGAAGTCCTTTCCTCGGTTCTACTTTTTCTTTCTTACATTTGGCCCTCCAGCAGAAGTAGCCGATGAGGAGTCCCGCTATTGTAAGGACCACTAAAGCGGCCAGAACTCCAGCCACTATAGCGGCCGTGGCAACCGTCGATGTTGTCGTTGATGGAACTGTAAATAAAAATCATTTTTAAGATATTCCGTTAAAAAAAATCTGCTTACATGTTGAATTAAAAAAAATGTTCATCTAATTTCTTTTCTTCATTGAAAATGGTGAAATATTTATAAACAATACAAGTCTGTGAAGAGGGCGCAAAACACGAGCCCCTGGAAATTCAGAGCTGGGATCAGGTGTCTAGAAGGAGTAAGCATCTCCTTTTGACGGGTCACAAGACTGAAATCCCTTTAGCATCAACTTATGTACCAGTAGCTTGAAAATTAACCATAACAGTATTTTTCTAAAGACGAGCCAAATAAGAAAAAATACTTGCTTCTTGTAAAAGAATTTCAATCAAGGAACAAAATGAATGGATGCCCCGTCCCATCATTCAGATAAAAACGTTTTTGAAAAGTATTTAAAGGTAAATTAATCATGGAAGGTAAAAAAAACTGAGACCATTTAAAATGATTTAGCTCCCCAGGTAACTAAAGCGGGTTGTGATTTTTTTTTAGTTAGATAATTCTAACAGATAGTTAATAATGCTATGTTGTCCCTTTTTTGCAAAGACATTGTGGGATCAGAGCACAATTAAAAAGTAAAATTCTTCCGTATATATTGACTGATTTCGAAATCATTTTCCCTATATTACATGTAAAAACTTTCCGTCCGTCACCGCAAGCCCTTTATAAGAATAAGAATATCTTATTTTCGACTTCTGATTCAATATCAAGGTATATGTTGTAATTTTTATTCTCGTCTTTTTTTTTAATAATATAGTTTTCTACAAACCAGATACTGTAATCGAAAGCGTCATCCTGCATGTTTCTACAAACATTGAATTTATCCACAGAACAAAGACCCTGGGACTAATCAGAGTGTATTACCGGTCGATTACCGATATTTATCTTTAGAACAGTGCATGGTACTCACCGCAAGTGACTGAAATGAAATAGAAACAACTATATTAATGATGATTATACATTTCTTAATAATATTGAAATTATGAAATATTGTTCTGTATTAAAAATTGCCACAAACTTGGTGTTCAGCAACATTGATTCAAGATTTAAGATATTACAGTGTCTTGCTTTTATCATTTCGGAATAAGTGCTGATCCTTCGCGATGATTTCATTCTTATCCCGTCACAAATTCAGATTGACGAGGGTTTGACCCTTACCGGAAGCTGTCATGTTGATTGTTGCCCCTGGGGAGTCGACTGACGTCGTGGTCTGGGTACTGAGGCAGTCCTGGGGGTGCTGTGTTCCAATCACTCGGTCTCCAGATTGCTCCAACATCTGAAACCACGTGTTTGGTTCAATGCCATATTATTAGTACAATTCTCAGTTATCCTTGGACTTTTAGTAAGGCGTGGTATTCTCGATGTTACATAATTAGCGCCTAAAATTTTCAGCCTTTCATTCACTGTTGAAATATATGCATGGGATAGAAATTCGGGCAAATGTCAACGAGTGTAGCAATGATCCAATGATAGCGTTTCGCACGGGAAAGTGTCAACAACAATTTAAAGTTGCTGATGCTATCAATTTCTAAACCAATGAGGATCTATATATGGCATTTGAGAGACGCTAATTACGTAGTGCCGAGAATGTCACGCCTTACTGAAAGTGCAAGGACGACAGAGAATTGTACTAATTGTCTTCTTTTAAATCTAAGAAACATTTCAAAGTTCGAAAAAGTGCATGACGTTCACCGCTATCCCAAAATTATAGTTTAAAAATATCGTTATCGCTGATAAGAAACATCTCATCTTTCTTTCTACTAATTGTACATCTCTGGTATAGATATGAAATCAGCACATAACGAAAAAATTGAATAAAGGATGTATTCGCTTTGACAAAAGAATTGACCTATAGGAGAGAACAATTTCCCGGAAAAAGTGACATTGAATAATTAATCTTTATTTGTTGTTTTCTACCGTATATATGTCTAATTTTTTCAAATTTGTATTTTATACCTAAAATTTATTATTTATAACTTTACAATACACCTCCAAAGTTGGCCTAAACACCATTTTGTCCGAAAAAGTGTCGATTTTTGCATGAATTTTGGCCTAGAAATCCTTCAGGGCAGGCCTGCCCCTAAATAAAATTGTGATATTTTGATAGGTTTGGATGTAAGGATTAATTTAAGATAGGATTTTTTTAGGGGCACCCCTGCCCTAGGGTCGAAATTCACAAAAAACCTACAAAAAATAAGGAAACCTGATTTTGATAATCTGCTTCAAATTTATACCGGTAAATGGTATAGTCAGACTAGCTCAGTTGATATATACGATGATTATTACAGTGTGCACACTAACATTTTAAAGTCGGGGGTTCGAATCCACCTGGTACTACACTTTTAAATTTTTTAATGTTCGCCTTTTCAAAGCCAATTTTATATTTTTTATAGCCTTGTGTATTATCCTTTATGCATGCCCATTCTTGAGATAAGAAACACGAAAGAGATATCAAATCGTGAAAATCCAATATCAGTCAGGCGGAACAAACCTAAGTATAAGCACACTTTCTCCGAGGACAAGAATAACTCACTCTGTGTTACTTAATACAGGTTTTTCGCAGCATTGAGCTGCGATGAATGTCAATTGTATATATTCCTTAGGATTTAATAACATTGATTTTGGCTACATGTAACTGTACTCCTCGGATTTGATTTAGGCCTATATAATTTGCATACATTAATGGAATGTTTTACTACATTCACGGATAAAATTGCCTAAACATAAAGAATAGAATTTCAGAGGCAGTAAACATTACCATTATGCTTATTGAGAAGTTATGACTTAAGATAACAAACTCAGGAAATCAATAAAAGGGTTCCTCATACCTCTCCTCGCTGAAAAAAGATTTAGGAAAAACAAATTTTTATATGTATTCAGCCTAATGCCATTAATCAGAACGGAAATCGACCAGGTTTTTGTAGAGAAAAAACCAAGCCCGGTCCTATAGGTCAAATCCCTATTTATAATGAAGTGATCCTTTATTCAAGCATAATTATCATAATATAAAAATTGTCAAAACGCCCAAACAATCGCTCCACAAAAAAATACCCCACTATACATTATAAGGGAGAAAGGCCTATTATATAGTGGGGTATTTTTTTGTGGAGCGATTGTTTTGGGGTTTTGACAATTTTTTTTCATATTGTACATATAATGAATAAGTGTAATAAATATAATTTGTGGGGAAAAAAATGTCCAATAAGCCCCGGGGTTGAATATCGAGGGGGGGGGTCCTGTCCACAAGTACCTGTGAATTATTCAACTTTTTTAGATACTGTGGAAAAAAGAATATAAAGTAAAAACTAAATGATTTTACTTACATAACACGTAAATCTGTAGTAGGTGGATTCATCTGTGGTCGTGTCCAGATTATAGACATGCACTCTTTCGGCAGACCCAACAGTCGAGGTGTATATGCATTGCACATTACCATCCGCTGTACCATTGATAAAGGAACGTGTATTACATATCTTGTATTTTATATATTTCGATTATTCAAATTATATTTAATATTATTAATATCAATTAAAGTTTTAAAAAGAGTACTTATTTCGAGGGTATTCATCAAGTATTTATAACATGTGTATAAATAGGATATGAAATATACCTACATGTAGTTAAGATTGTTACATTATTACATTGAAAAGAAAGACAAAGATACGATTTTTGTGCATGTATTTTTCTTAACCACCCCTCTCTCTCTCTCTCTCTCTCTCAAATTCGCTCACTGATTTCAAACATAAAAAAGTTGCAATCTACACAGTTGTTTTCAATCAAAGTACTGTTTAAGGTCAACAAATTAATCACAAACAAACCACCAGATTGAACTTAATTTTTTAGATATGAAATCTTAAGCTGTCAACTATCATTTGGCAAAGAAAAATTTAACACATTTAATTTTAAAATTTGACCATTTTTGTATATCTTCATATGGAGCTCTTCTTTTAAAGGAGATCAATATAGTCTAAAAATGGCTGCGACCGCCCCAGCCCTCTTAAACACATGTGCAATTTAAATTTACAATAAGTAATAAAAAGGATTGATTTTATAGCTTGAGGAAACGTGACATGAACTGATTGTTCGCACATGTATATTCATAATTTATAATGGCGATAAAAAAAAAAGAAAAACTTCTGTAAGTGTTAATGTTTTATTCTCTAATTTAAACAATTAGTATTCGATGTAAATCACAAAGATCATTATTATAAAGGAAATATCAATTTTTATAGAAAGAAAAAAGTTAAAAGCTAGTAGAAGGAACATATGACCCCCCTCTCAAGAAATGTTTGCGAGCGAGTGATCAAACCGATTAAACGGGTATTTGACGGGATTAACGGTGATTTAGTGTAGCTTTCAGCAAATCGATATTCTCAATACATAACACAAGTTATTGCGACATTTTTATTTACTTTATATAGACCTCAATACATTGCTTGTGGTACTGTTAGGTGCATTTTTATGCATTTCTGTTAGGTGCATTTTTATGTATTCAATAATACGATGTTCTAGGAAGTTATCCAATGCACATAGCATTGTTAAAGAAATGAATGTAAACAAGGAATGAAAAGAAGTTCTAACAATTTCTCATAAAGTATATTTTCTAATATTTTCTCTACTAGTTTCAATAGCACAATTTTAATTTCAATTTCATTTGAGAAAAAAAACAATATCCTGGAATGGAGACATGAATTTCCAGTTTTAATACCGTTTTAAGGTGCACTGACCCTCCCGAAAAGAGAGATAACTGTAATTGGGATGAAATTCTATTTTGAAAATTGTCAAGACAAAGCGGCCATTTATGAGAATTTTGCTCTGCAAAGGATGCTGAAATGGACATTTTATCAGAAAATATTAATTTTTCTTTTGAAAAACAGTCAAAGGGTAAAGCAAAATTTTATATGAACATAGAGTTGAAGAACCTTTAAAAATCTGACTTCCTTGTTTTGCTTACAGCAACTGTATATACAGGAAAAATTACATATATTTTGAATAGAATCTTGCATGCAACAGTATCATATTTATAGGTTTTGGATATCAAAGACCATCTTCTGAAGATAATGATAAACTATATCGGAAAGAGAAATAATGGGAGACTATATTTCAAATATACTAATAAAAAAAAATTCTTTGAAGTATCAGCAGTTATGAGAGAGAGAGAGAGAGAATGATTACCAAATTATTTGATTCATTAGCTGGTTTTTAATAGTATTTAAAGATGACAAATTTACCTGAATAGGCCTGTTCTGTTGAACAAGCGGTGTAATTAAAGGAAAGAGTATCTAGACTGGTAGTACCACAGGTATTTAGAGAGCCTGTGTCGTTCACACATGAAGTCTCGTTGAAGGTATACACAAATGTTCCAAGGAGAATATCCGGACATTGTATAGCTACGTCAGACAAGGATCCTGGAAAACGGCACCAAAATTATCATTATATACATGGATAATTGGCAGTGCTGTAAACAATTCCATATAAAATTGTATTGGTTACACATATAACATTTAAAATCTTACCGTTTTTAACGAGGAGATGAAATTCTGTATTTGCTGAGTTGTCACAAGCCACTGAATCCGTCACGGTTGTTGAAGTGGTAACATACTTTACCCTCTGGTAATTAGCATCAGCAAGTTTACCTGTGAGGAAATTTTACAGCAATAATATTATTTTGCGGTATAGTTTTAAGTTTTATGTATTTAGTTAAGCATTTGAATTCTACTCACTTGTGTAGATGTTCATTTGATAGAGACTGGTTTTTAATTCGGTTAACTCCACACACAGTACAGCCACTGCAAAGCTGCTGAACAATGGGAAAGTCTCCGACCTAAGAATAAGAATGTTGTTACTTTTAAGATTGTTAGAAATCTTGTCTGGATGTTATTTTCAACATTCACATTTAATTATTAGAGAAAGGTTCCGCAAAGGTTCGGGGAGAACGATGAACAGACATATCAAACCACAGAGATGAAAGTTTACATAAAAATAGAATATTAAGGAAAAAGATAATATAAAAATAGTTAATATAGATTATATAGTTAGCAGCAAATTGAAAAAAAGACTACTATACTGTGACATAACTCACCTCAGAAGATATTTAGTCCCTGTTAACTCATAACATTCGAAAAGGAGGTTTCCCCCTGTGGCCTCCACGGGATATTCCACGTGGGTGGAATTAAAGGTCAAGTCTCCATTGTGGCTACTCGTCCAAAGACCATCCAGCGTCCCAGGAAACGTACACGTGCCATCTAGAGAAAATAGACACGTGTTTGAATATATTACTTGGAATTAAGAATGTTGCATTTGCATTTCTGGAAGAATTGATGAGAAATCAAATTCATTTTTGTCAACTTTCGTGGAACCATTGTTCCACAATTTTTTTGGTTATGTGTTTTTCGGAGGCGCCCTAGGACTGCATACAGTATGTTTTTTCGCATTCAGAAATAGTCTTGAAAAAAAAATCCATTCTATAACTGTATAGTTAAGGAATCACTGTCTAGTTAGTATAGTATGCCAGGGCATCAACGATAGTGGGAAACATGGGATAATTTGATGTCCCTGGCATACTATACTAACAATGATTCCTTATGTTTCCATTTCATTGTGAAATAAACTTGTAGATTTATACTTTAAAAATGTAGACATAAATTTAAATTACACGAGGACTTCCATGCCTATTTCAATAGTCCTCGCCCACTGACGTCTAACACAAAGACAGCCGCTCGAGATTTACATGCATATTTGGCCTCCTTAGCGTCTGACACAGAGACAGATGCGCACGAGATTTGCATGCGTATTAGGCCTCCTTAGCTTCTGACCTATCGACTTGCCTAATTTACATTCCGGCGGAATTATCAAGAAATCAACTCTGCTAATTTGCAAGGAGTTATCACAGGAAAAAAAATTAGAAATGTAAATATTATCATATACATTCTATACTGCAGTGGGGGTTTAGAGGTGCAACCCTCCTCCTTATCTTTCCCACCCCTAAAAAATTAACAAAACTTTTTGCGTTGTGAAAAATTGACAAAGCCATAGCTAAAATCAATGCAATTTGAAATACTGGTTACTAGAACACGAAATAAAGGCATAAAGGCCAGGAGAAGGCTAATTCAAAGGGACTCGATCAAATGCTTTCAGTTTGGAATGACACTAAAACAATAAAGCTTACAATATATACCCCGTCCCCTCTCCTTGATTACTATGGCTATGAGATATCTTTAATTTCCCTTTACTTCTATATTTGTTATCAATCCCAAAACAGATATCCTGGATCATCTATTTGAACTTTTGATTTTCTATTTACGTTGCAGACCAGATCGTGTGTAATACGATACGCTTATTTTGTAAGAAAAAAGTTCAGGAATTCATAATTATTTAATTAGATATTTGAATTTTTTTCGATGTTTTGTACGCATTTTATACTTCCCTTCACTCTTAAGATTTTTTTTATATATACACCCGCACTAGTGTACAAAGGGGGAAACATATTAAAACATTGCATGTGAAGATATTTTTTTTTAATTTAGTGGTTAAAAACTTTTATGCAGTTTTGGGAAATTCCTGAGTAAAACAGGATGTTTTATAACTTTGTGAAAGCTATTTGAATATCTAAAAAGCAAATGATGTGTTCGTCATTTTCTTCTTTTGCAAACATGATTTTCTTTAGCACAATTTTCGCAGAAAGTTTTTGTTATTTTTGTACTCACCTGTTAAACTTATAATAGAACAAATCCCTAAAAATAAGAATATCATGTTTGGATCCGCCACAATATAGACATATATTCCAGTGTACCATCCATTCTAAAATCCCTCTGTACTACATGATTCACTCTTGTTGATGCTAATTGAAAACAAATTGCGATAAAAACTTTACATTTTTCTCCCACCCGATCCTAATTTTTGTCTTAAGCATGCGGTAACCAAGATTAGAAAGGATCATATTCATTACTGAATATTTTTAAAACCAAGCCAAAAATCGGGATCAACCGTTTGATCGGTGTATTTTAGCCAAAAGATTTAATTTGCGATTTTTAAATATCTTTTTGTTAATGTTTTAGAAGGGATTATCAACAGTTCGTCCTAGTATACAAGTAACTTAAGGTTCCTGATCTGAACATTATAGAATCAAATATTAAATGGGGGATTGTTAGCTTTATTTTTTGTGACCGATAGTCGTGAAATTAATTTTTGAAATCCTTATCGTCCTATAATGAACGAAATAAACAAAATGAAATTATAAATGAAAATGAATAATCAACAATATGAGAATGTATTATTTATATTGAATCATGCATGTATATATATTTTTTTAACTTATATGTTACTTGAATATATCACAAGTACTCCTACCCCCCCCCCCTTCCAAAGACACTTACATGCATTTATTATCTATATCAAAAGACAAAGCGGAGAAAATTCCAAATTATACATTTCACTCAAAAACACTCCATAACTGCACATTATACATTTAAATATTTACACGTATATGTGTTAAGTAATTTTGTTATTGTATGTTGAACGATTAAATTCACAGGTGCATGGGTACGGGATTCCCCCGTGCTCCGTACCCCAAGGGTTCTTTGACCTTTTTAATTTATAACTATATAAAAACTATTTGTATATCTGAAATGCAAATGTTAAATCAATTCTTTGTCTTTTGTTTTTCCCTACAAGTCTCGCAGAAAACTACATACATCATATTATATGTGCTTCATTTTTAAAAAAAAAATCTTTTTGAGAAATCTAAAATTTAAGTTCAAACTAGCCTTTTTTAAAAAAAATCATACTCTCTGATAATAAAACAATGCAGTTCTGTTTCAGCTTTAAAAAGTCAAAGGACCTTTAGGTTACAGAACACGGGGGGTGCCCAGTCCCCAAGCACCTGTTATTAATTTGAGGAGTTTCCCGATTTTTCTTATGATGTGCAGGATAAATAAGTTACTGTACTTAATAAACATGTAATTTGCTAAGAAATATCAATAAAGACTCGGTGTTGAATGTCCATGAGAAAGAAAGGGTGGGTGGTGACTGACAGGTCTCGTCCGCAAGTACCTGTTAAAATCATTAACATCGGGTTCGACATTCACACCTTGTTTGTTTGCAGACATTTGGCGGGAAGATGTTCCAAGAAATGGGGAAAAGATATCTCAGAAAATGGTAGCTTTTGCGTAAATTACGAGAAGTTAATCATCCATACAGAAGCTTTTTAAGGTATTTCAATGTTTATAATGTAATATCTGCAAGATCGCCCCATAGATCGACTTGCTGTGTAGATTACGTCAGACCAGGTCTGGTTCAATCAGTCTGTCAATCAAAATGTAGTTTCTCCTTGAATTACCACATATATTTATTTCCTATTTGAAGTAGCTCTTTTTAGCTAGTAAATCAAAAAAAAAATTCTCAAATAAGCATTTTTCTCAGGATTTGCAGAAAATAACACTTTCAGTGATTATTTTCAACTTTTGAGCTTGAACTCGATCTAGAACTAAGAAGATGGGTCTCTCTCACAGTTTCTGTGCAATTTAAATCGAAGTTCGAAAAAGTTATGGGGTTATATACAACAGTACTAGTTAATTTGTGACCAAAAAGTTCCTTCTTGAATGAAATGACAGAGAACAACAGTACGTGTTGGCTTACAAGATGATTGATAATTAATGCAACAAAATGTGTGAAGTAATCTGACATGTATGCCTATCCCTTCCTCACAGTTTGCAAGGTGGTATGCAGTTATACATACAACAAATTATATATTTGCCTACAAGTGTTCGAACACATTAATGTTAAAACTATCTCTGTCTTGGATTGCCTTTTAAATAAACTCCAGGATATATATTTGTAGACATTTGCTTTTGATTTTTTGCATTTATTAAAAAATTTAAAAAAAAAATTACATGTGAAAAGTTGCATTGAAATAGCCAAATAAAGCTACCTGAAGTAGCTAAATAAAACCAAAGTTTTAACTCTAACCAATTAGCTAAATATAGTGATTATACTGGATTTGAAGACAGCGGGATTGTCACACAAGCCAGGCTTTACTACATGTGTATGCTGAAGAGATATAGACATGCCTCTAACACTCAACTAGCAGACTGCTGCAGGGGAGCAGGGAGTCGGCCCATGGCAATAACATACTGATCAATGTTTGTAAATTTTGCAAGTAAATACTGGTAAAGAACCCTGAAAGACTCTAGTGGTGGCCAACCCTTGGGGCTAGGGACACTTCTTGTACTGCTGTCAGTCAGATATTTATTCTGACATTGTTTTAGCCTCCATTTTATTAGTTGCTACTTGCTAGATACTTGAGAATACATGATGATTATGTATGCATTGTTCTTGAATCTTTAAAAATCTTCTTAAAAATCTATGATTAATCATATTTATATGGAAGCATCCTCAGGTGGTGCAGATTCATATTTGTTCAAATAATGACCACTGGGGGTAGGGTTGGACCACAATGGGGGATCAAAGTTTTACATAGGAATATATTGGGAAATCTTTTTATCACGAACAGTAAAGCAATGATTGGTCATATTTATTTGGAAGCGTCCTCAGGTAGTGTAGATTCATCTTTGTTCAAATCACGACCCCCGGGGGTAGGACGGGGCCACAATGTTTGTTCAAACTTGCTGGGGAAAAATCCACAGTTAGCCAAAGAAATATGCAGGCATCCTTAGTTAGTGTAGATTGAAGTTTGTTCAAATTATACCCTCCTCCTCCCTTTTAAGGATAGGTCACCGTCAGGACTACTTATTGATTTAAACTTTTCAATACTGAACTGATTTCTGCTTTTCTCCTAGCCACAGTGCTCAGGTGAGCAATGTGGCCCACGGGTCTCTTGTGTATTTCATTAGAGCCCTCATGATCCCTGATTATGAATGCACAGACGACAATGATTCATTCAATACAGAAAGAGGAATGATGGGTATTAAATTAAAGATGAAGTAAAAATATGCAAAAACTAAAAAAATATAAAAAGCAATGTTTAAGAAAAAATTGTGCTTGACAAATTTAATATATAAATTTTGAGGAAAATGAATTGTATAAGTAAGTGTAGGACAAAAATCAAAATCTGAAAGAATATTGTCAATGTATGCAGTATTTTTTTATTATTTTATTAAATGATTCAATGTCTTCCAGCAGAATTTCTAGACAAGGAATTGCCAAGTCATAATTTTTATTCTAGTCTGACAAATAGTATAATCTTTTTTTACAGGCTTTCGCGTAAGCAGACGTATTGGCTTTAACAAGGTTATGATGGTATGGTATTGGATGCAAATGATAGTGTTGTCCAACACTGAATTTCTTGGCAATAACGGAACAAGTCATATATAAAATGAGATTGGTTTTATTTTGCAGATTCGTGCGTTTACTTGATGTATATTGATTCGGTGTGCATTATGTAAGCCATAGCAACAGTTTTTGTGTGCAATCCTGACTCACAATACCAGATCACATCTGCATCAATTTCTTGATTAAAGGTTGCAACTTTAGTGGTAAGTTGCCATATTTTCTTTTATGTATTTATCCTCTTCATAAATTGAGTATTAGTTTTAACTCATGTACTGATTGAAAATTTAAGATTTGAAATTTCATGTGTAATTTTTACCTATTTAAAAGAAACATTTGACACTCTTGGCTGGTTTATCAAAATTAAGTTACGATAAAGAGGACATTATTAGCTCAGTGCAATTTTTTCAAAATCTGATTTTATCCAGTATCAGGTGTCATATTGTCTGTGGTAATTTTTTTTTCAGTTTCTTCTTTGGAACCACAAACCAATTTCAACATATTTTTGCAAATAACTTCTTTGGGTAAAGGAGAACAATATTTATTTACTTTCTTGGTGCATGACCCCCTGGGACCTGAGGCTAAAACTAACAAAGTAGTGCAATCTTAAAAATCTGCTGCTTAAATTTACTCTTGGACTTCAAGTTGGCTGGATTAAAATTAGTAAGCATTGAGTCCTCTATGAAAAATTGAATTCATGTCCCTAGGGTCAGGGGTTCTGAAGTTGGGGATGGGTCTCTATTGATTATATAGTGAAAGTGCATAAATTCTTTAAAAGAATCTTCTCTCCAACTGAGTATATATAGTATAGAAAGTAAACTTAAGGTTATGTTGTCCCGAACAGTGATTCATTTTGAAAATTGATTGAATGGGTACAGTGTACCCCTCTGTCAGAAAGCAATGGGTCAGAACTCAAAATCGATGGGTCAGAATTTTAACATCAACTAAGAATGTGATATCAAGCAAAGTTTTTTTTTTTTCAATTATCTTAAATAACAAACTGTAAAACTTAACACAAGTTGAGAACATCAGCTATCACTCAGTAATGTCTAATTACTTGAACATGAGATTGAATAAGCCCTACGGTTTTTGGATTTTCTCCATACACCCAGAGCCCTCTCTACAATGTCACCTCTCTCTAAATTGCACAGTTTTACCCTCATCAGTTTCGACTGAGTTTCTACTGTGAGCCTATTTCTCAGTTTAGCCAGGAATAAATTGACAGCCATCTTGATTGAAAATTTCTCTGTACTTTTCTCTTAACTTTTTTTGCATCTGAACTCTGAACGTCATGTTGATCATTTTTGTCATTGTTGTTGTTCACATCACTAACTGTACTGACGTCCTTGTTTGGGTAAAAAAAACTATTCAATTTACCTTGATTTTGGAGCAGTTCTATTACTTTTTTGGGAGGCATAGCGGCGTATAGCACTCTTAAATTGTTACCATGCTTACTTTCGTTTTGTATACGATTCTAGGAATAATGGACGATTTCATTGGTTACCATTTATTGCAGCCAATTGTAATATTTGTTTTACCCTCGTTGCTATGCACCCTGTTCGGTACCCCTCTAAACGCTATTACAAAAGATGAAAGAGGCAGTTCCGAAAAACAGAATGAGCAATAAAAATAGAAACTGGAAACTTCGATTCTATTTTATGTGGGTTATCACTTATGCGTATTCGTGATGCACTGGACAAAATTTAAACCAATGGGTATTTGATGAATGTAATGCGTAAATTATGCAATACGCAGGGTAAAATGAATCACTGCCCGAAATTTTGAAATATCGATATTCAGGTGTCTTGCCAAATGTCTAATATTATCTATACTGACAGATTTACTAAAAGTCACAATCACAAAATAAGCCATGATGCACAAACAGTTACTGTGGAATCATTTTTATTCGTGGGGGTCGTTGGTAAGAAAAATGTGACCTGTTCATGAAAATAATTTCATGGGTTACTCCTAAAATACGATAATTCAATGAATCAAAATGTTTTAAAAAAATAAACTTACTTGGGGATGTTAATTAATGGGTAAGGATGACCGACGAAATCCACGAACATTGGTCAAACAAACAATGATGATTCCACAGTAAATCATTTTGATTCATGTAAATGAGTAAATACTCATTTTGAAATTTTTGTGATAAATTTTTTCTCAATCCTTCAATTTTTAGGTGAGATTAAACATAGAATTAATTTTAGCCAGACTTAAACAAAAATTGCCATTGCCTGAGTGTAAGGAGAAATCCTGGATACACTCAGAACCCAGATCTTTTTCGAAAAGTCAAAGCCTAGAGGGTTTTACATTCAGAAAAGTGTTTATATATACATGTTCATTTACAAGAAATTATTTATTTTGCTGTAAATAAAAATGAAAAGAAGTACATAATAATGGGATGCAGCTAAACTGCATCATATAGATAACATGATTGTACGTGCAACATGTCACATTTTTCTTCACCATGGGACAAATTTACAGTCACCAACTGTCAGATTCTTTATTGTTAATCAGTTTAAAGCAATGTAGAAGTCCTTGCAATGTCAAATTGATAGTAATAGATGATAAAAATAATTCCGTCTGAACTTGGGTAGTGTGCATCTGTCCTGATTTTATGGGAATATAATTGTGTTAGCTCAATAAATCGTAGATAAAGTTATGCTGAAGCAATACAAACCTTTGGGCACTGCAACATTGAGACTGTCGGGTCAGTTCCGTACAAGTTTTAACTGTCATCTGTGATAATCTTTTTAGCGGCCCTCCAGGGGGTTATATCCATAAGCAGATGAGACCCAATTGTTCTTGGACTGGCTGTACATTTGCGAGTTTATGCAATAGACTGGAATCTCATCTCAATTGATTTTCTGCCGTCTTAATTTGTTTAGAATTACTTGATTGCTCTGCGGAATGGATTTGTCAAGTACAATGCGTTGCATATCTTAAATGTTGATTTCAATGGTTTATGGCAATTAGTTCACGATGGAAAGATCATTACAGACATTATTGCACTGATTAACCCTCTCTTTTTACCTTTGATGAAATGCAATACATCTTCATGATCATGCAATACTTGCATTTATTCACTTAATTAAAAGCAAAAACTTAATACATTTGTTAATTGATCCGTGCTGTTTAGAACTACATGAGGTCTTTTGTGATAATGCTCTTAAGTAATGTAATAAGAGGAATTTTTCATTAAGATAAAATTTTTGTAAATTTGCTAATGTTCCTTGAATTAATTTTTAAATATTGATGGAATTGGAAGAGATTCATAAAATATAATCTCCTGAAATTGTTTCAGATTGTGACCTAGGCATCCATGAAGAAAGGGTTTATTTAAATGGTACCTAGGAAAGGAATGCAATGTAAGTAGATTTTTATGTAGTTGTAGTTAATTCTAGACTATGTACATTTGAAGATCAATTTTTGATTGTCTTTATGTTCTCTGAATCAATGATGAAAGCAACACAGTATATTGATCAAAGTCTGTGACTGTCTTCATCTTGAACCTTTCACTAACTTTTGAACTATCGAGGTGGAAAATCATTATAATTAAATGAAGGTGAAGGTCTTTTATGAGGGAAAATGTCCTTTAGCACAAAGTTCAAATTTAACTACCTTGAATTTTCTTTGTCACATATAAGCTTCTGCAGATTCCTATTTATACAATGTCATGAGGATTTTTTTTGTTTAATTTCGCAAGAAGCATCACTTGCGAAATAAAATTATTTGCTTTTATTTTTTATGGTGCTAAAATCTACTTAAATTCCTAATGAAATGGGAGGGATTTGTTATTGCGTAATTTTGCAAGAAGCATAGCTTGCGAAATAAAACTACAGTGAAACTCGTTTAGTACGAACACGTATGTAGTGATTTCACGGATAAAGGGAATTTATTTTTCTCCCCAAGTATATAAATTTAACTTATTCCTTATACGGATACAACAAATCATGGATATATATAGGGAAGTAGTTCAATAGGTCCCAGTGAATTCATTATAACCGAGTCTTACTGTACTCACTTTTAATTCCAAAGTTGCTAAAATCCATGTTAATTCCCTTGATCAACCGTCCATTTGCGAATAATTATTCCTGTGATTTGATGTTCAAGATCCATTTCATGATAGTAAGTACTCGCAAAAAATAAGGAATCTACAGTATGTAAATTCTCTTAATCAACCATTCATTGGCGAATAATTATTCTTGTGATTTGACCTGAAAGAGCCATCTGACAATAATAAGTACTCGCCAAAAGTGAAGAATTTACAGTATGTCTATTACACAAACACATTTTGTACCTTTTAAATAAAAGTGAAGTTAAAAAATTAATGCATTATTTGTTTCCCCTTTTGCTGCCCTTCCCATGAAAATATACATTAATATAGCCCACTTTTAAAATATTGTATGCCCTTTTATTTCAATTTTAATTTTTTTAATAAGCTCACCTGAAATGAATCTCAAGTGTGAACTTTTCTGATCACATGAAAAGATTGCATATGTAAAATTTGTTTCTTGGGCATTTTTTCTTCCTTTAGCTCCATTTGGCTTAAACATCAACAAAAGTGCCCTGGGATTAAAGGTCATCTTTCTTCTTAGGGTCATTTGCTAAAAAGTTTTGGTCACCATCTCAATGATGTCTAGTTAAATTTAGCAAATAATAGAAGAGGTGATCCATTAAAAATTTATCATTATGATAGTTACTTAATCTGAAGAGCCGTTACTGGTATAACATCCTGTGACAAGCACAGAACGAGATGAAAAGCTGTTGATCAGAGCCTGCATGTCTAGTCAGCGTGATATGGCTTTTCAAACCAAATTATTTTAAAAAAGATACTGTATAAATAGAAATTTTAGCGAGATGCAAATTTAGCAATTTCTCCTTAAAAAGTGGTATTTTCTTTTAAGCGAGAAGTAATTTTAGTGATTTTAAGATGCTCACTAAATAAGCAATTATGAATAAAACACAACTAATTCATAGTGATGTTTTATTTCAGTGATCTCAGCACCCTCACTAATAGTGTTAAAATTAAATCTGCAATAAAAATTCTGCTTATACGGTAAATGAACAGCATTGTTGATCATATGTCATGCCACAAAATTTCATATTAATGTTTTCATGTTCTTATGAAGAAATTTATCATAGAATATCATAGCTAGTTGCAGTAAACTTCAGATGTGTCTGTTAACTCTGTATACCTGCAGTTTTCATATTAATTGACTGTTCAGCATAAGGTGAAAGAAAGCTGTATAGTCTCAGTAATGAAGCACTATTTATGGATATTAATTAACTCTGTTTCGTTTTATATGCTCTCTTATTGCTGAATGTCGCATTTAGAGAAGAATTGTGTAGTGCACTTTGTCCAGTAAAATAAGATAAGGCGCCATTGATTTTTTTTTTCAACAATTTTTTTGCTTGTCATCAAAGACATCATAAATCTGCTGCACTGACCTTTTTCAGCTTTTTGCAAGACAAGAATCAATGGAAATTCCAGAGGTCTTGCAAAATGGTCTGAAAGTATTAAGGACTTAGCAAACAATAACTTACCAAAGAAATCGGCATGGACTTAGACAACCAGCTGCTTCGTCGATTTGCAATTAGATTTATCAGAAAAATGAATATGTCAAAAAAAAAAATTTCTGTATGAAATTGGTTTGTATAAGCTTTTGATTTTTATGTATTTCATTTGATGAATTTTTATTATATATCAAAGTAATTTCTTTTCTTGTTTTTGATCGTAAGAGGACATATGATAAATTATCAGCGAAAATATAGGAAAACTATATAAATATATTTTGTAATTCAAACATTGTTGATCGAGTGATGATTCAGAGATCTAGAATACAACCCTCCCTTTTTTTTACAGCACAGATTTTAAAACATTTTTTTTAACAAAATAATTTGTGAACTGATGTCTAAAACCAAAATCATGAACAATTCTTTCTGTTTTCTAAGTAATGATTTCCAAAGAAATGAATTTCCAATTCTAAATTAAAGTACAATCAAATCTCTTTATCTCAAAGGGACTGAGAAAAAACTTCGGGATAACCGAGGGTATGAGATATCCAAAGTAAAATATACTTAAGGAATAAGTAGTTGAGACTTCAAAATGACTTCAACATATCTATGCTATTTGACGTATCAGTGTTCGAGATACCGATAGAGGTTCAACTGTATATACAAGCACAAGCAAAAAACCAGAAATTAGATGTCATAGTGTGATTTAGAAATTTCAATTATTTATTAAAAAAGGAGTTTCAGAAAGGAGTTACACTCCTTGCTTTCAAGTTGGAAGTCATTTTTCAATAAGAAAAATGGTGTAAAAGCCAAAAATCTCCAGCCTGATAGTGTAAGAGTTCAATCCCGAAATTTAAAGTCCATGAAAGGACTTGATGACAGCTATACATAAAATTTCACATTTCTTCAAAACATGTACTTACCTTAAAAAAGGGAGGAGAGAAATTCAGTTATATATCAAACAAAATAAAAATCTTAATGAATTTTGCTCATTTAAAAAATGATTTAGATAAATAAATGATATGCCTGCATGGACATTTTAATATATTCAAATAAACCAGCTTGCGAAAAACAAATCCATTGGACTTTAAGTCTATAATCACCAATATGCAAGTTATTGAGTCAATATTTCATACTTTATAATGTTTTATAAAGGCTGGTGACTTTGAATTAGAATTATGTAACTAGCACATTTTTTTTAACCAAATAAACTGTCATAAAGCTGATATTAAAATAGCTTTTCGTATGTTAATATATAGTGCTTGTATATAGTAATAAAATCGGAATTATCTGTGGATAGTTAGTATACATAAGGCCAATATTGATTATATTTAACTCATTTCTCAGGTGAGCTTCAAACAAGAAGATAAAATTTTGGAAAAAAAAAATATCAAGGCGATGAAAAATGTTCGCTGTATTCTGATATGCTGTTGATTGGCTGTATTCAGAAGTGCCGTCGATGTCTTTCAAGGATTTTCTTTGCCCTTTTGTGATTAGAATTAATATTGAGTCAGATAGCCTTTTAATGATTGTCAATTTTCATCGTTGCATCAAGGTTAATTATGAGGAGTTGCTGTGAGCCTAATGACACGATGTTGGTTGTTTCTGTAGTGTATAATGAGGCTTTCTATGAGGAGCGGAGCGGCTGGCGTTTGCGGTAGGGGACCGGGTATGGACGATTTATTGGGATTTAAAATGGACGACGCCAAAAGGAACAGACCGTCCAACATCACCTCTGCTCTGGCTGATAGGAAAAAGGAACCTGCCACCTTAATTGCCTGCACTGTCAATTTCAGTCCAAGTGAAATTCATTCACCTCAGGTATTTTTTTTTTCTGATTTATATAAATTTTTATGTAATATAGAAAATTCTGTTCATAACTAGGGAATTTCTATACTTGTTTCACCTGTAAGTCAGGACAGGTATAAAAAATCATCAAGAATGAGCATTTCAATTTTGCTTTAAATGCTTAAGACTGCAATTTTATTATTTTTAAAGAAAATTGTGCTGTCATCTTTTTTTGCATGTCTGTTGTTATTGGTAGGTCTTAAATAAAATTTTAGTAAGATGTTTGAAAATTTAAAAAGTGATACTCTTCTGAGTAGGAGGAATCGTACAAGGTTTTACAAAATTATTTTGATTGTGCTCATTCATTTATATTTGACGTTGGATTACAATGCATCAGACTGAGAATTCCTTGTGAGGATGTCTTTGACTTGCATGTTTTTCACTAGACTAGTCCTGCATGATGACTTTAATTTCAAACTTGATCACTAAATGGTTACTGTCATATTGGTGATTAAATGGAAGTCTTAGGTTACTTATACTCTACATATGACGAAAATTTCAAGTTCTGCAGCTATCCAAAACATTTTAGAATCAATAATCATCAAGTTGAATTTCAAAATTCAGATGCCACTATTCAAACTTGAATCAGTTGCCCACATGGAGCAGTAGTTTTAGCGTCTGCTCTAGAGTCACCAAGTAGGGAGTTGATCCTTAGGTCATGGGTTTGAATTCCACTGTGGGACGTGGAGACCAGTCCTTTGGATAAGATCATATATATCAAGGTCTGGTGTCACAGTAGGTGCTGACACAAAAGATCCCTCACTGTTTAATGGCCATAAGTGCCAAGTATATATAAAGAACAAAATTTGCAGCTCTCCGTTTGCAAATGGTGGCCTCTTCATATGAGTGAAATATTCTCAAGAGGGACATTAGACAACATGCAATCAATCAATCAAATTGAATCAAATATTTTAAAAAATACAGAATCGCCAACTACATTAATACTGATATGACATAGTGCCAGGTTCAGGCAATTTTGCTTCATAATATAAACATAATTCATGTATCTATTATTTTTACAATATGTTTAAAAACCATGAGGACTGAAAAAAACACTTTGCCATAAGTGTCAATTCTGTATAAAAGTGTTCGCTCTAAGCATGTTTTACTGTGGTGTTTCTTTTTAAAACAAAATTCAAAATTTTGCACTTTCTGAGTTAGTACAGTAATTGGTGAATAGGTGACATATAGTCACTAAATTACTCAGGTTACCAGAGTAAAGTGTATATTACAAAGCTTTTGCTATATTATGTAATTTCTGTATTTATCTGAATATTACTTTCCTGGGATGAGCTTTTATGTCCTATTAATGCTTTCGCAATGCAAATGATTTACACAAAGGACCCATAGATACCGAATTACATAATTATACTCAGGTCGCTATTATACAAATAAAGTATATCATTGAGGGAGTCGGCAAGATTTCATTTCCCCTCTAGCAAGCCTATTTCCTGAGGCTTTGGAACATCTCAGTCTGTACTTTTCAGAAGATTAAAAGGAATCACAGGGTGTTCCGAATAGGTGTGTATCAGTTCATCAAACTGACACACCTTTTTGGAGGGAATTAATCAGTTTTTTTACGTTTATTTTTCAAGAAATGAGCAAAATATATCAGTTTACTTTTATGTAGTGAAAAATCAGTGAAGGTAAAATAAATATTAATAATGGACAAAACAGAAATATGGTACTGTTAGTGTACCAGTTCAAAATGACTAAATAATTAAAAGTTGTCAGGTGTAGGTGGAGATATTCAGTCAAGGTATAATTGTCAACATGAGGTCACCAACAAAAAGTTCAAATGACAGAGAAAAACCGTTAGCATTACTAAAAAGTGCAAAAAGGGACCACAGCTCTTGAGTTTTATACTAGTCTAATGGGGCTGTTCAAAGACCCTTTACCTGCAACTCGGGAAAAAAGTTTGCATTTTCCCCATTTAATGTGATAATTTTCCCAATAGTCATTTCTCCTCAAATTAAAAAAAATATAGACTTGCTATATTATACTTGTATTCTTCTGTATTTCAAAATAGAAAACAAACACCAAAAAGCTAAGTTCATATAAAGAAATAGTTTGATTTAAAAGGATTTTCCCCAAATTCCCTAAAATGGTGTTAAGGTGGTTCATTACATCCACAGTTTATTTTAGATTTCATTACAGCATCACATATACGTAGATGTCAAATATCCGAATGGAGGTATTGATATCATAAATATTTATTAGAGAATTTTAAAACTTTTTGGCTCACCTGAGCCGAAGGCTCAAGTGAGCTTTTCTGATCACATTTTGTCCGTCGTCCGTCCGTCTAGCTGTCCGTCCGTCTGTCCGTCTGTCTGTGCGTCTGTAAACTTTTCACATTTTCGACTTCTTCTCAAGAACCACTGGGCCAATTTTGACCAAACTTGGTACAAAGCATCCTTGGGTAAAAGGGGAATTTAAATTGTTAAAATGAAGGGACATATCCCCTCGCAAGGGGAGATAATCAAGAAAAGACAAAAATAGGGTGGGGTCATTAAAAAATCTTCTTCTCAACAACCACTGGGCCAGTAAAGCTGAAACTTATGTGGAAGCATCCTGGGGTAGTGTAGATTCTAAATTGTTCAAATCATGACCCCCAAGGGAAGGGCGGGGCCACAATGGGGAATCAAAGTTTTATATAGAAATATATAGGAAAAATCTTTGAAAATCTTCTTCTCAAGAACCACTGGGCCAGAAAAGCTGAAACTTATATGGAAGCATCCTGGTATAGTGTTGATTCTAAATTGTTCAAATCATGACCCCTGGGGGAAGGGCAGGGCCACAATGGGGAATCAAAGTTTTACATAGAAATATAGAGGAAAAATCTTTGAAAATCTTCTTCTCAAGAACCACTGGGCCAGAAAAGCTGAAACTTATGTGGAAGCATCCTGGTATAATGTAGATTCTAAATAATTCAAATAATGACCCCCGGGGGATGGGTGGGGCCACAATGGGGAATCAAAGTTTTATATAGAAATATATAGGAAAAATCTTTGAAAATCTTCTTCTCAAGAACCACTGGGCCAGAAAAGCTGAAACTTATGTGGAAGCATCCTGGTATAGTGTAGATTCTAAATTGTTCAAATCATGACCCCCAGTGAAAGGGCGGGGCCACAATGGTGTATCAAAGTTTTACATAGAAATATATAGGAAAAATCTTTGAAAATCTTCTTCTCAAGAACCACTGGGCCAGAAAAGCTGAAACTTATGTGGAAGCATCCTGGTATAATGTAGATTCTAAATTGTTCAAATAATGACACCCGGGGGAAGGGCGGGGCCACAATGGGGAATCAAAAGTTTTATATAGAAATATAGAGGAAAAATCTTTGAAAATTTTCTTCTCAAGAACCACTGGGCCAGAAAAAGTGAAGCTTATGTGGAAGCATTCTGGGGTAGTGTAAATAATAAATTGTAGGAATCATGACCCCCGGGGGAAGGGCGGGGCCATTATAGGGAATCAAAGATTTACATAGAAATATATAGGAAAAATCTTTGAAAATCTTCTTCTCAGGAACCACTGGGCCAAAAAAGCTGAAACATATGTGCCCATGGAAGGATCATGGGGTAGTGTAGATTTCAAAATGTCTAAATTATGATCAGTGGGGTAGGGTGGGGATGCATTATGTATAACAAGGGTGAAATCTGGTAAAGAACAGAATGGTCAAAGCTTCTCAAGTGAGCGATGTGGCCCGTGGGCCTCTTGTTTCTAATTTTAGTTAAATGTTTTATTGCAAGTTTATTTTTATCAGAATTTCAGAACTTTTAGTGTCAAATGATGGACATCTTCTCTAGACAAATACATACAATGAAAATACCTCATAATACCTAATATTAATTTTATTAGAAAAAATAGTTTTCTCCTAAAAAAACAATAAATGCCAATATCTTTTTAATCTGTGCATAAAATATATTAAGAGAATGAGTTCTGAAGAAACAAGGAATGTGTTTTAATGAATTGAATGTGAAAAATTGAATGAAGAATGTTTTAACGAAATGAAAATTCCAGTTTATAAAATATTTGGTATAAAAAGTCCACTATCAAGAGTTATCTTTCCTAATTACTCAAGACTCAAAACACTTAAAGTAATATACGCTATAACGTGCGCCATTTTAAAATACGGCTGGAAATTTATATATTTTGTTTACCAATAAAAGTTAGGAAAATGCTGTAAATTACACCATTTAAATAAAATTCGTTATAAAGTTATCAAATTATAATTATTTATTATCCTGCAAGGAGAATAATGTCTATTTTTAAGTAAATCCACCACGTGACGCCGTCGCCACTTTTAGATTGATAAACAAACACGGCGTCAAGAAAACGAGGTAAGCCCTTTGAGATACAACTCACTTTTGACATGGATGGCGTGTTACTATTAATATAACTTATCTTTAAATGTAATCAGTATCAACCATCTATACTCTGTTATGACGCATATTAACCTTTTATTAATAATCGTCAAAATGCAACGTGCCTCGTTGTCTATAATTTCCCGTGGACATACGTGTCTATATTTAGACCTACTGTTTACGCACTTCCTTTATCAATATTCATGAAAAGACTGAATTCTTGATTGCAGATATTGCTTTATTGTTCTGTTATTAGAACGAGTTTTATAGTTAAATTTTGTGGAAATATTATTTTTTCATTACACTTTATGTGTTTCAAATCATTTAATCATTTTGTTTCACATACAAATCGGCATCCATATGGCGTATATTACTTTAAAGGAATGTTTAAACATTACATCTAAAATTCAGAACAGAGCTTTAAACTTCCAGAGTATATGTTTAAATCAATAAAGCAGATATATAAATTAACACCAAAACAGTTAATAGTGCAAGTAAATAACATTTTTAATTTCAACAACATTGTAGATTTTAAGTCTAATTTCCTCCATACAAACTTGTCATTGATTGATAGAGCTCAATTGCTTCACTATGAAATTGCACATTAC